TCCTGCTGGAAATAAAACATTAAAAAATGGTTAGTGCTAAGTGGGAAATCTATTTTCAAAGTGGAACTTTTTAAAAAGATCAGAACATGATGATCATTTGCATTAGAAACATGAACAGTTGTTCATTAGCTGTTACTACTATTTTATAATTTACTACCACACCAGAAAGCAAAGATGAAATTCTAAAGGTGGTAAACTGTTCAGTCAAGAAAAAAGCAAACTCAAGAACTGGACTGGCATATGCATGCGCACATGTGTCTGTGCAGACATACATACGCAGATGTCTATACACATATGTTTATTCAGTGCTAATAAATACATATATACACATATCTGCACAACCGTATGCATAACATCAAAACCAGATTATTTTCAAGTAAAATTATATTTACAAATAAATAGAATCTAGAAACTGTCTGAACCTATAGCAAAGTGGCATGATGCAAACAGCCTCTAAAAAGCAACAATATGCACAATGAAGTATTAAAGAACTCTACTAAGACGCTAAATCTGATAGTTTAATATTCAGAGTTCAGAAAATCTCAGTCATGATCTAGCAGCCCCAGGCTACTTTTGCAGCTAGTTTAAATAAAATTAAAAAAAAAAAAAATCACATCTGGCTCAACAGGCCAGTAGGAGATCACAAATAGAGCAGAAAATTTACAGTATGAAAGCGGCCAGCACATCCTTGGTTTTGCCTGCAGTGCAAATAGTTTTTGCATAAATAATTATCATATAGGAAAGTCAGCAACATTTTTGAACGCAGTGGTGTCTCACCCTGTGTAACTTGCAGAAAAAAGCTGCAACCAATCTACACAACTTTTATCAGCGTATTTAGGCATACACACAAATACCAAGAAAGCCATCACCAAAAAGCAGGTTTACCTGCCTGTTTTCCTAGCCCAGCAGGCTTTGCCATGGCACAGAACAGAAACCAAATAACTTGTGGATAACTAGAGTGTACAATTTGCTCTGTCTGTGGGCAAAATAGAAAGTTACCAGCTACTGCATTCAGAAAACAAAACCAACTCATCTTAAAAATTGCTGGGGGGGTGGGAGGAGGATCACTATTCACTGCATTTATCTATATCTAGAACCAGGCATTTTTACACAGTCACTCCAAAAAAACTGTCAGAAATCTCACAGCTGGATCTGCACTAAACAGTAGAGAACAGCTTTTACTTTTCTTTAGAGAAAGAATAAAGATCTTCCACCAAAACTGCTGCCAGAAGACAGCTACACTGGCCAACTAGCTCTGTTAAGCTTGACTCTTTCTACATCTCAGACCTGAGCGCAACTGCAGAAGCAAGAAAACTTTTGTCTCCATCTACTGTTAGCTTTTAGTTCCATTGCCAGCTGCATAGTAAGAGCTGCCTGGAGAGCTCCTAGCCTCCCCTTTCCAGCACCCGCTCTCCCTACCTTCAAGGACAGTGCCCAGAGCTAGGACCAAGGGGCAGGGCTCTTCCCATAGCCACCGCCTCCCTCATCATCATCAGCCCATCTCTAGTGCACCTTCAGATGCACATTTGCTGCCCAGACAGCTCAGCACCAACTACTTTCTACCATTAGCTTGTGACGCCAAGTTGCTAGGTGAGAGGAGCAGAGAGTAATTCAGTTAAAATTAAAACTCACTTGCACCTATCAGGTCCTGAATCTGCTCAAACCATTAACATGCTTTCCAAACACTATTTTCACTTTGCTAATATTAAGAAGTACTGATGAAGGATCAAAGTAGAAATCAATAAGCAGCCTGTAAGAGGCACTTGTGAAGCCAGGCATACTCAAAGTGCGCACTGGACTGAGCAAAGGCTATATATTCCTATTTACAATGCAAATGAAAAGCCTACACCCTTCAGTGCTGGAGAAGAAGCTATGTGGATCGAATAAAGTGATTCTGCGGCCACAAAAGCAGCTCTCCAAAGCTGCCTGGGCCTCCCAAGTTATCCCTGTGCTCTCCTCTGCAGCATCAACTCAGGGAAGTCTTGGTATGGGAGGGAGGAGGGGGGTTGTCTTCTAAACTGTGCAGTCTTCACCCTTTAAACTCATCTAAAGCAGTAGTTCTGGAATTACCCTCTTGATGTACAGTTGCTCAAAACCTGCCCGAACAAACAGGCAGCCTAAGCAAGAGATAGGGCACTAACAAGATGTTTTGTGTGCGACTGGTTGATCACATCCCCTGCTTGTGGGACTAACTAGCGGTACCAAAAGAGAAGATAAACATTTCATTACTGGTGACTACAAAAGAACAGTTGACCTTTGAGTCTTGGAAAGAGAAAAAAAGCATGAGTCTTGGAAAGAGAAAAAAAGCATTTACAGGATCACCTGGCTTCAGAGGATTTCACAGCCACCACATCCAGGTGGTTAAAAAATAAAATATATTTCAATGACTAAAAAAATGAGTTTCTGAGAATACAATAAACTACACAGATAAACCCAAAGAGAATGAGAACTTGCAGAGCTCTGAGGAGCTGTTCACAACTGCCCTGAGCCCCACTTTGGCTACGGTTCCTCGCAGCCCGGAGAGCTGCGCTGTGCCAGGCAAGGCACTGGGTGCTCCCGGCTCCAAAGGGGCAAAGCCAAGCACAGCGTCACGCCAAGCAGGAACACAGGGACTTACTCCGCACTAGGAATTACTAATGGTGACAACAAAAGAAAACAAATGTAGCCACAGCACAAAGCTCTTTACACGTGGAGGATAAAAAAAAAAAGACAAAAAGCAAACAAACAAAACCCCAGAAAGGTCAGGGATTCTGAAGCCAGTGCTGTACCTTGAAGAAAAGTTGGGTAGACCCAAAGCAGCAAGAGCTGGGGCTCCATTTCCACAGCCGTATAAAGGTGCTGGCACTACCACATCCCACGCCAGGCGCTAACTCCAGCCACCTGACTTGGGGCTGCTGCTCCATTTCGCCCGACCCCAGCACGGCC